GCTGGTAGTCTGGGTTCTCTTGTTAGTCACTGACCTTCCCCTAGTACAGGGACAGCCCACGTAGCAAGGCCACAAGAAACGTTTGTCGAACTAAAAGGGGCTGGACAGGGCGGCGGGACTTGTCCTTTAGGGTACCCCAGATTCCTGGAAAGTTGTACCCTAAATCGAACACAATCTACCCTGATACCTAAGAGGTCTCTGGTCATTTTCTCCTTGTACGTTTGTGGGGGGAGAAGGCGAGGACCACTCCAGCTGGACCCTGCCCTGAGGTTGCCCACCCAAAAGCAGCCTTCCCCGCCGTATGGACAAAAGCACGCGGTCACACGGAGTGTCGGGCCAGGGTTTTTTTTATCGTGGGAGGGGAGGAGCGGTCGCCCAGTTAGGCCGGCAGACTAGTCGCCCTTGGGCGCAGCTTTCACCCTCATCTCGGCCAGTTTGTGGGTGAGAAAGCCCCACTTGAAGCCGGCTGCGGGATCGGCTTCCCGCGGCTCGGGGCGCTCGGCGGCCTCGTCCCCGGCTTCAGGGTCCCGATCCGGAGTGGGTTCCGCGCCGCTCAGCATGGACGCTGCCGCCGCCTGCTGCTGCTGCTGCTGCTGCTGCCACCTGCTGGCGAACGCGTCCCAGAACCCGGTCCCGCGCGTCTCCGCCGCCGCCGCCTGAGAGGAGGGCTGCGCCGCCAGCGGGCTGCAGGAGAGAGGCGGGGTCAGGGGCTGGCCGAGAGGCCCCGGAGAGGACAAAGGACAGGAGGCGGGGTCAAGGTACCAGTAGTGGGGCCAGTGGGGCCCGGGTGAGGTCAAGGGCTGGAGGGGCCCGGGAGACTGGCGGCAGGGCCTGGAGGCAAGGGGAGGGCTCAGAGGCACTGGGAAAGGGGGCTGGGGTGGGACAGGGTCAGGGGATTAGGTGAGGGGTCTGGGAAGAGGGGACCGGGATCAGGATCCCTGGGGAGAGAGCTGGGGTCAGGGGTTTAGGGTAGAGGAGAGGGGCGAGGCCAGAGGAGGGGAGCCAGAGGCGCAGGGTCTGGGAAGGTGGAGGAGGAGGAGCCCTGAGAGAGGGGCGGGCGGAAGGATGCGAAGAGACTGTGGGACCCGAATGGGAACGTTAGATCCGGGGAGGGGGCGGGGTCAGACTCTGGGGGCGGTCGTTCCGGAACCCGAGGGCAGAGCCCTGGGGAAGGAGACGGGGCGGGGACAGGGTTCTGGCTCTGGGATGGAGGAAAAGAGGGTCCAGAAAAATGAGGGTCGCTGGGTAGAAGGATGGGTGGAGCGACCCCGAGGGAAGGAGAAAGGCCTAGATCAAAGGCTTACGGGAGAGGGGAACTAGGGAGGTAGCAAGTAGATGTGGGGGGAAGGGCAATCAAGGAGCAGCGATGAGGCTTGAGGTAGGGAGAGGGGGTGAGCGGGAGGGAGAAAAGGAACCCTGGGGCAGGAGAGATGGGTGGGTCAGGGGGAACCTAGGGAAGAAAGGAATAGGGGAATGCCAAAAGGGAAGTGTGACTGGGCTGGAGGAAAGGGCAGAGATGGAGTGTGTGCCAGAATAGAGCTAGGAGGAAGACAAGGCCCCGGGTCTGACCCTCTACGCCCCCAGCATCAAAGACCTGCTAAGACAGTGGTTCCTAAACTATTGTCCTCAAGTCTTCAGGGAGCTCGCTGAAAATATAGATACCAGGCCTCAGCCAACACCGGCTGAATCAAAATCTTTGAGGGAGGGTCTGGGAATTTGTGTTTGTCTCAAGTTCCCTGGGAGGATGAGCGTTTAGACCAATACTTGGGAACCACTGATCTGAACCACTCTCTGTTCCAAACACCTAAAACTTCTCTCCTGGGTTCCCTTCTTCTAGGGAGATGACCCCTCCCACATGGATGGGGAGAGAGAGCCCATAATACCTTTTAGCATCTCAATCCCAACAGCTGGTAAATTCCTCCTGAGATCTAACCTAATCTCCCAGATATGCTGATTGGGCCTCTTTCCTGCTGAGAGAAACAGAAGCAGCCAGGGGCTGGCCCTCCCCAGTCCTCCGTAGTCAGAAAGAGGAAAGGACATGGGAGAAGGGGATCCCCAGGCCCATCCCAGACCCCCTCAACACACACACGTACTGGTCAGCACAGGGCTCTGGTGGCAGCAGCTTGTCCTCGTCTTCTTTGTTAAACAGAGACGACATTGTCAGCCAGCCTCTCACCCCAACCCCCTGAACCTGGGAGAGAGGGGCTGGGAGTCAAGGAGGGCCCCCAGCACCACCTCCCAGGACTCCACAGCAGCTTCTGCCAGGCTCCCCAGGGTTGGGGTGGAAGAAGGGAGAACTCACCCGGCGGGCCAGCTGTGACATGGGATTGAAGGCCTCTTCAGCTGGTTCTGCTGCCTCAGACTCCACTAACGCTGGGTTCTCCTTCTGGGACACAAGACCCCTACCCAGCATGAGAGAGGCCCCAGAGGAATATGACCTCCCTCCCCCACTGCTAGCCTGGTACACATAGACCTGGCACCTCCAAACCCCATGGAACAAGACGCACACCTAGGCCCCTGACACCCTCCAAAAATACACGCAGCTGTACCTCTACGCAAATCTACCTGTCACACATTTCCTGTACAGTCAATCCCCGCAGACACCTTTGAGCTCACATACTGCCCACCCACAGACACATGCAAAACATGTGGACAAGGGCTTGCACGCCAGTGTAGACACACACCTGTACAGGAGCGTGCCTCCGCATGGCTACAACTCTTCCCCTGTACGTACACAGATATATGTGCTGTGAGGCACCTACACAAGGACACTTACACAGTTATACCATTCACACCTGTGCACTTCCACAACTGGAGACAGCTGCATGGAGGCCCTCTCACAGCACACAAAACCTCTCCACTCATCCACAGACACCAAGACACAGATGTTCACACACACCCAAACACACATGCCATACAAACAGTACCTGCAAATGCCTGCATGCCTCTGTAGACTTCTGCCCCCAAAAAACACACCTGAAAACACCTGTAACCGGTTCACACCTGCACACACACCTTAAATGGGGATTCCACATGGATGCCAATCCCAATACTGACCCACAGATACTTCTACACAGGGCCAGCCCTAGACACCAACCTGTGTAGACAGACACGTGTTCACACTGACATACACACACCCCAGCACTAGTTCCTGCCTCTGCCATATCTGTTTGTGCAATTGCCATTTATTGCAGCCTCCAGAGGTAAGGCTGTTTTGGAGCCTTTTCAGTTTTTCTTTTTAAATGTCAGAATAAACATGGTCCAAGTATGGCTCTGTCCTGTTGCTGCTACAGTAACCCTCAGTGTACAAGTGCCACTTCCCCTACTTCCCGGGGGCTTGCTTCCTCTCAAGGTGAGTCATCCTGCTTTTGCTCAGCTCTGCCCATTAGAAAGTTGTGTCAAGCTGAGTGTATCTGTGTGGGTACTGCGCATTGGTCCTAAAAGGATCCCTTCCGTGTGGCAGCCCTTGAGATCTTTGGAGACAGTGACCACTCTTCCAGTGCCCCCAAAGTCTTTTCTTCCTTGGTTTTCTGGAACGTCCTGACTTCCTGACACTGCACCGTGCCATTGGTCATCCATGAATCACCAGTTGCTTCTGCACAAATCTCTCGTTCTCTCTCTCTTATAGCCAGTCCCTTGCCCTTCTTAGTATCTGTCACTCCTGCTGCCCCTCTGCCCATGCCCCATCCAGCAAGCAGGATATTACCCACCTCCTCTGCCAGGTCCTCCTCAGATTCCCCACTCAGGGTCTGTAGCACTTTGGACTTGTAGGTTTTCCAGAAGGTTTGGTTCATGGCTGCAGGGGAAATGGGCCTGGCACCCAGGCACGGGAAGCACCCAGTGTGTCTGGCTCCAGGAACTTGGTGAGGCTGAGAGCCTGTCCCAGGGATCAGGTGACCTCATTAAAGATGCACCAGCCACCCCAGATGGCACAGTGCCCAGCAGGTGAACCCGATCCAAAGGAGTCTGTGGTGAGAGCCAGCTTCTGCCACTTCAGCCCCTCATCTTGACCCATATTCGCCAAGAATAATGAAGACTCCCTCCACAGAAGCCTCCTTCCTGGGCCTAGGAGTTCTTGAATTTGATCATTTGGAATGGCTCCAGAAATATTCTCTTCCATTCACGAATTCCATTTACAAAGTCCTTGGGCTCAGGACCCACAGTGGTTCCCTCTGTGACTGTAGCCATACCAGCTGTGCCCTCAACAGGGCTCTGCCCTATGTCTGCACTCAGCCTCTGTGAACTGGAGTGGGAAGGTCCCAAGGCTCCCAGTCGGTGCCCTGGGCTTACATTTCACCGCTTTGTCTGGGCTGGAAACTGATTCCTCTCCCCAGGGATGCACGTGCTGGTCTCCCTGTTTCCTGGCAACAGGTTCCAAAGAACCGGAGCCCCTGAATTATTGCTGAGTTCCTCTGGTCAGCCTGGAAGGCACCAGGCTCTGGTGCATGGGAAAAGGCTCTCTGGCCCTCTCCCCACTCTGAGCACACAACACCTTGGCTGTATCTCTCCCTTTGATGCCAGCCCACGCCTGGGAGTCCAGGGCTCAGAGAAGGGGCTCAAAGATGGGAGGTTCTTCTGTGAGCATCTCCTTTTCTTGTGAGAGGAGCCGACCCCTCTTGAGTCTGACAGTACGCCTAAGCACTGTGATCTCTGGGGAGGAATAACTGGGGAGGGGTGAGAAGTGGCGAGGGCTTTCTCAGGGACTAGAGGTATTTCTGTGGGGGCCGGGATCCCAAACTTATTCACTCTCGTTCATTTATTAATTTATTAACATCACAGACATTTTTCAGTGCCTCCCAAAGATGCAGCATCCCCCCCGACACGCGCAACGTGGAGTCTAAGATCTGGGAACCAGGAAGGGGTGATAAGGCCAGAGGACGGTGCTGTGGGCCAGGCGGGGCGGGCAGGGCAGCGGACGGGCCGGCATCCCCCCAGGGCACGCACCACCCTGCCCTTCCATTGACGGAAGAGGACGCTTCGTGGGGCCCGGCCCCGAGCTCCGTCACTGACATCGACGGCCGCCTGGGGGCGCTCGAGGCGCGGCCCGCGCGAGTGACGTCATCAGAGGCGGTCTGGCAGAGCCTGATCATTCCCAGGGCGTCACAAGGCGTCATTGAGCAGTCCGGAAGCGCCCACGCGTGTTCTCCCAGCTCGGCTCTGGGACCCCTAGTCCTGCTGTCACCCGCCATGGGTCGCTCCCGCCGGACGGGCGCGCACCGAGTGCACTCCCTGGCCCGCCAGATGAAGGCGAAGCGGCGGCGGCCGGACCTGGATGAGATTCACCGCGATTTGCGGCTCCAGGTTGCCGCACGGCCCCGGCCAGACCCAAGCGCGGAACCCGATCCCGACCTGCCAGGGGGCGGCCTGCATCGCTGTCTGGCCTGCGCGTGAGTTACGGCCGGGCCCAGCCTGAGGAGGAGAAGGGTCCGCGGAACGGGACGGGGGTGTGAGATCCGGGTCCCGGGACGCGCAGGGTCTCTTCTCCTGGGACCAGTGGGTCTGCCGGCCTCCCATCCCTTCAAGCCCGGAGCCTAGCATCAGGGAATGAGCTAGGGTCAGGGAAATAGGCGTACCTGAGAGGCATCACCTTCTAACTATCCTCCTTACCCCCCATCCCTACAGGAGGTACTTCATCGATTCTGCCAACCTGAAGACCCACTTCCGATCCAAAGACCACAAGAAAAGGTATGAAGTAGTAAGGAGAGGATTGATGGATGTGTCCCGGGCAGACAGGGCTTGCATCTGGTCAGCTCTCAACTCCTATTCTTTTTCCCAGGCTGAAGCAGCTGAGTGTGGAGCCCTACAGTCAGGAAGAAGCAGAGAGGGCAGCGGGTATGGGTTCCTATGTTCCTCCCCAAAGGCTGGCAGTGCCCACAGAAGTATCCACCGCGGTCCCTGAGATGGACACGTCTACCTGACATGGCCTGAGGATGCAAGGCAGAGGAGCTGCCCATGGACAGTGATGCAAGGGCCAGGCTGGGAGAGACTATGCCAGTCTCTTTTGGTTTGGGAAGTAGATGGCCTCTGCCGGGTGCCCTCCCTCCCAATAAAAGAACTGGATAAAGAGAGCTTGCCTCTGACTCGCTAACCTCCAGGCCACTCCTCCAAATTCAAGACCTGTAAGGGTTTCTTTCTACTCCTGTGTACAGGGCCCAGGGTGTTTGCTCCCTACTTGATTCAGCTTTAGAACCTGCATCCTTTCCTTCTCTCAGGGGTCCTAGCATCTGAGCTGAAGCCCCCCATTGCAGCCCAGGTGTGTGTGGGGGATGGGTAGGATCAGGTTTATACTACCTTGCTTCCAATGAGGGCAGGGAGTGACCCCCCCCCTCAGAAAAGAAGTAGGCTTCTGAGATTGTAGCCCCCGCGAGTCACCTACCCCCCCAGGGCCCAGGTGAGAGGCTGCCTACTTCATCATGGAGCCTGTGGCGGCCGCCGCTGCCCCACCATCTTCCAGACAGCATAGCAGGAGCCGCCCAGCCCGAGGATAGCCAGCAGTGCAGCCACGATCCCCACCAGCGGACTCCGGGGCTCTGCCCTCAGGTCCCCGGCTATCTGCATCTGGAGGTGCACAGAGGGTCCACCTGAGGGGTCAGCTGAGACTTCTGGGAAGGTGGGGGGTGGAAAGGGGCTGAGAAGCTACAGCTGCGGCAAGGAGATACGGATACCATTGCTGCCCCAGGGAGATTCCACCCCAATCTCTCTCGCTTCACTGCCTATGTGGGCTATGTGGGCCCTGGCTGCTCAGGCGGCAGGGAACGTGACAGCCTGGCTGCTGGGTATCATCCCAGCCATGGTAGGGGGAGGAAGGGGTCGGTCCCAGAAGCCACCGTTTGGGGTGCTTACCTGTAGCACTCGGAAGTAGCCAGGTGTCAGGCGTTGAAATCGCATGGTGGGTGCTGCTAGTCTTCCTGATGTCCTGTGGGATGGAAGCGGGAATGAGGACCAGTGGCGTTCATGGTACCAAGAAGCGGAAATCAGGACAGAGAGGATGCTCACCAGCGTCTGCCTTCCCAGGTCTGGCAGGGGGCGGGGCAGCTAGACCTTTAAATCTGTCCCTTCCCCCTCCTGCCCGCCCTGCCAGCCTTAGGAGCAGCTGTCAGGAGAGATCAGCATCAGGCCTGAGCAGCACCTCCCCCACCCACCAGGGAGTCCAGGCCGGGTAGGCAGGAGAGGCCTTGCCTGGCAGTGTTGAGAAGTCTCAGGCCTGGACCAGGTATGGGAGGGCCTCCCAGCCCTGGTCGTGGCCCTAACCCTACCTCAGATGATTGGATGTCACCAGTCAGCTCTCAGCAAAGGAGGGGTTGGGTGCCTTATTAGCACCCCCTCCAAACAGGAATAGGCCTTTTTCACTTGGTTTCTGTTGGATCAACCACACCTACCTTGGGGGAAAGCACATTCCACCCCTTTCCCCAAGATGGAGTTCCTGTAGGGACTTCCTTACCTCAGCTTGGGGACAATAATAAAAGATCTGCATCTTAAGAAAGCTGTCTGAGGGCTTCCCTGGTGGTGCAGTGGTTAAGAATCCGCCTGCCAATGCAGGGGACACGTGTTTGAGCCCTGGTCCGGGAAGATCCCACATGCCGCAGAGCAACTAAGCCTGTGCACCACGTCTACTGAGCCTGCGCTCTAGAGCCCGCGAGCCACAACTACTGAGCCCGTGTGACACAACTACTGAAGCCCACATGCCTAGAGCCTGTGCTCCGCAACAAGAGAAGCCACCACAATGAGATGCCTGCAAACCGCAACGAAGAGTAGCCCCCAATCGCCGCAACTAGAGAAAGCCTATGCACAGCAGCAAAGACCCAATGCAGCCAAAAATAAATAAATAAAAATAAATAACAATAACATTAAAAAAAAAGAAAGCTGTCTGAGGTGTGCTAAAAAATAGTAGCTGACTGGGAGTTCCCTGGTGGCCTAGTGGTTAGGATTCCAGGCTTTCACTGCCATGGCTTGGGTTCAATACCTGGATCCTGCAAGCCACGTGGTGTGGCCAAAAAAAATATAGTAGTTGACTGTGCTGGGCATTATTCGTATGATTTCATTTGGTGTTGATTAACTCATAAAAATGGGGGGACAAGCATATTTCCAGAATAGCATGTAGAGTATCTGCATATAGAGAGAATGGAAGAACACCCAGAAAACTTAACAGTGGCCCCACCTGGGCAACAGGATGGGGACATGCTGGGGAAAGGGCACGTCCTCCTTCCACTTAATGACCTACTGTTATCGCTGAAATTTTTACAGCAAATAGATCCAAAGACCTTTCATAAACTCACAAAACTACCTTCAAAATAGAAGCTACCATTTACTGTGCCCCTAACTGCCTAGCCCTGCCACGTGTTGGGGACCCAGAGTAAAGGCACTGGTGTGGTAGTTAGGACCCCAGTCCTTTACAGGGAGTATCTGAGTACACGTGGTGAGTTCTTGTTGGTTTCTCCCCTACAGGATTGTGAGTTCAGGGAGGGCAGAGGCTGGCTGGCTTCTCCCCTCTATCTTGTGCCAGCTCAGGGTAGGTGTTTGATGAAATCAGGATGGTGGAGATAGGTCTGTGTTTATTGGATTTCCCCAGAGTGCCACAGGGAGGCCAGTGTAAGAAGAGGCAAAATCATTAAAGGGAAAAGCACCGAGGAGTGTTAAAGGGATACACACAGTGCAGCATATGAGGACATGAGGCCAAGGACAAAGCCAGAGAGGTGAGGGCCAAATTGCAAATTGGGAGCCTACTGGCTCACAAATGAGGGAGCAAGTCCTATGGGGACCTGGTGAACTGCAGTCCCCTTGAAAGGAAGCAGCCGACGACGTGCACTCATGTTTGATGCCACGTGTGAAGGTGGGATGGGGTGAACAGAGCTGGCCAAGTTTCAGAGAACTCAATTTGTATGTGAAATTGTTAAATGATGACAAAACACACACACCACATGGACGTCTGTGGGCCAAATTCAGACTTCAGGTCTCTGGGTGACAATCAAGATCATGACAGGCTTTTGAGGCCAGGTATTGGGGCACTGGTAGAGATTCCAAGTTAGGTGACACAAAGGGGGCAGGCCTCCCAGGCCCCTCCCCACAGAATTAAAGCAATAATAACTCATATCTACCTCATATTACAGATTTCAAAATATTTAAAAGACATCCTCACAGAGCTAAGGTCTAGTCACACCCCCCCCAGCCCCTGGGTTTTAGAGAGGAAGAAACAGATTCAGAGAGATGTAAGGGGTGGGCTCAGTCACACAGCAAGTGGAACTGATTTTTTTTTTTTTTTTTTTTTTGGCTGCCCTGGGTCGTAGTTGAGGCACGTGGGATCTTTTTTAGTTGCAGCACACGGACTCTTAGTTGCGGCGTGTGGAATCTAGTTCCCGGACCAGGGATCCAACCCAGGCCCCCTGAACTGGGAGCATGGAGCCTTACCCACTGGACCACCAGGGAAGTTCCGGAACTGATTTTTTTTCTAAATTGAGATGTAGTTAATTTACAAGTGTTAGTTTCAGGTGTACAGCAAAGTGATTCAGTGATATATATATCTGTGATATATTCAGTGATATATATATATATATACATATTATATATATATATTTTTTTTTCTTTTTTCTTTTTTTGGCTGCACCACACGGCATGCGAAACTTCCCTGACCAGGGATCAAACCCGTGCCCCCTGCAGTGTAAGCGCAAGCGTCTTAACCACTGGACCACCAGGGAAGTCCAAGAATATATATATATTCTCGCATATATATTCAAATTCTTTTTCCTTATAGATTAGCACAAAATATTGAGTATAGTTCCCTGTGCTATATAGTAGGTCCTCGCTGGTTATCTATTTTATACATAACAGTGTGTATGTTCATCTCAAACAGGTGGAACTGATTCTGCCTGATTCCAAAGTCCTGGGAGTCCCCTGGCCTGGGATGACGATAATGATGATGGTAACTGCAGATACGTAGTCTGTGTCAGACATTGCTCTAGAGGAAAGCTCTTGACCTGGGCTTCCCAACTCAGGGGGCCTATAAACTTGCATGGCAAAAAAATTGTATATTTATTTTCACTAACCTCTAACTAAAATTTACCATTTCCTTCTTTATGGATTGAAATATTAGCAGTATCTGTGGCTTTGTCACCAGTAGAAATCACAGATATTTTCATATCAAATTGTAGTTATCACAAGTATCCCCAAATATCACTTACGCTCATAACGATCTCAAAATGGTGACAGTTATTAACCCACTGCTAAATCACACTGTTTCAGACATTCCTGCAGCATGGCTGCCATTGATGGTGCCCAGTAGAGGGTCAGTGACCAAATGGTGAATCCATCTGCTCTCACGTTGGTCACCCAGCTTATGTGTTACTCTCTTGCATCCCCATCTGTAGGTGTTTGCTGATCAATAAGTGCAAGGAGGTGAGTCAGAGACCATCTCCACGGTTCGGTGTTATTCATGCTGAGTAACACCATGCTGATCATTAGAAAAGGAATTTAATTTGCCAGTCTTGTTATTTAATGCTGATAAATGCATATTACTATATCACAAATTTGTGGTTTTTAATATATTTTGATAATAACTGTCCTCCTTGTAATCTTCAGCATTTTGCTTTATGCTTTCAAAAGCCTCATTCTAAGAAACTGTCCAGGGTTTCCACCAGATTGCCAAAAGGGTCCACGGTGCAAAAAAAGAGGGGGCTAAAAACCAGTTCTAAAGGTTGTAGAGCTATTAACACAGGTACTCTGCATAGCAGCCCTCTGAAGTAGGAACTATTATATCCATTTTACAGACAGGGAAAGTGATGCCTGGTGGGTAAGCTTAGCCCTTGGTCACACAGCTAACAAGCTGCCAAGTCAAGATTTGCACCCAGGCTCTGGCTTCCTAACCTCTGCGCTTTGCTGCCGTGCTCACTGCTCACTTTTTGGCCCCTTTTTGAGGAGCCTTGAAGGTCAGGGTCGCACCCTGCCATTTGAGGCCAGTTTTGGGTGGGGATCCCAGGCCAGTTCTGAGGTCCCCTGGGTCACACATCAGTGGCACCACCCCCAGGTCTGGCAGCCCAGCTGCCCTAGGATGCCTGAAGGGCAGGGCAGGAGGTGG